TACGTATAGCGAATTAGAATTGGAAGTTGCTCGATGACTCGTGCTTAGTCATCTGACGAATACATTAAAGTTGAATATTAAAACGGCGTGGTACACACGTGTAGATATCAATAAAAGAATTATCGTAACCTCTTTCTAGCCCCATAAGACTCCCCCTTGTCTCACTTCCATCTATTCATTTTCAACGAACTGTGGATATCACTATTATTTGTACTGAATTGAGATGTAATTATAACATAAATCAAACTTATTTATTTATATAAATAAATTACAGAGGGCTGGATTTATATAAAAATATACAAATTGGTTAATTTTTACAATGTCATAATTTTGTACAGAAATAGTAAGACAGTTATTTTTTATTATGCGCATGTCTTTACATTTTTTTATAGAGTCTGAAGCTTTTGCAAAAATTTAACTTTTTTATTAATTATTTTAATATCCTGGACTGTTTGCCACTTACAATTATACATCCGGCGATATAATTCATTCTTTTGTAAGTAAACCGTTTTTTCCATGTATAAAGTTTTGCATTTAAACATCTATGCGATAATTAAGTAACAAGAAAAGACTGTAACTTAGAAGTTTCTGCTTTTTTCTCTCAAATAGATATACTCCTACATTAGTTCAGTCTGTTGGAATCCAAAATTTGTTTAATATAAACAACCAACAATTGTAGGACATTTGTAAATCATCGCTTCACATAATTAAACGTGTTAAAAGTTTCCCCCGTTTATAAAATTCATTCATTAGGTAGGTTTAATTTATTATATAAGAAATAATAAAAAAACACTGATAGTGTACTACAAAAGAATAAAACATAACTCCAATATTGTGTTATTGAATGTATATTTACAGTATTATAAATTGCATAAATATAAATTATATAAACAAGAATAATTTTATAATAAAATTATTCGTTGTCCTTGCAGAGAATGCTGTTGCAGAAAGGATTAATTTATCCTGCTGATATCCAAATTACCGAAATCATTGAAGCACACACAATCTTTGTACATAAAGGCTACTTGCACTCTATTTACATCATCTACATTTCAAACTCCATATATATGTACTGTATAATTATTAGACTGTGGATGTTTATGCATTTATGAGAACTTCCAATTCGCAAAACATATTCAAATAAAAATGTTAATCTAGTTTAGTGCTACTTATATATTATTATTAACATTCTGAAGCCTCTAGTACAGAAAATAAAATTCTGTCCTATGTTAGCTTTCATATATTAGTATTTAAAATTTTTTTTGCACAACCTTTCACAGGCTAATAATTATAGTAAGTGGTAATCTATAATAGCAGAAACTAAAATTTCGCAAGAAGTTAAAATCGTGAATCTTCGTATGAGAGGTTGTGCTTCCGCAAAAGAGAGTATATAAATCTTTCAGATTACTAATTAAACACAGTTAATAATGATTATTCACACAAATGCAACAGAGAAGGATTAATTTATTTTCCAGATCATTTTCCATTCAGGAGAAAAAGACTGGAATTCGATGGAAAAAGGTCTCCCGAATTCCATTTGAATACGCACCCCTTCGCATATTTAACGGAAACTAGATGAGCCACTGAATCGTTAATGCCTCCAGCTACTTGAATACTCGTCGGCAATTAAAGCGAAATTGCGCGACGTTTCTAAGCTGACGTGTGCCTTTCTAACTGACCGTGGCACAATGGCCGAGGAAAGAATGGACGAGTACACGAATCTCTGCAGCGTGAATCATGGTTTACAATAAGAGACGATTTGACGGCTCAGTATTCATATGAAAGCAGCCTTAGCTACATACATTCATTTCTCCAGCATTCTGACTAGAATAATTAATCATAAAAACAATATAAATGAACCAATATTCAATACATTAGGTTATCCGGAAATATTGGGTCAGTATAAAAGTTTTGATAGATTTTCAACAATAAAGAATTACATTAATATGTTATGTGTCAATGTAAATTTGACACAGTAAATTGCTGTTTAGAACAAAAATTAATGCAATTAAGTGTTCTGTTGGTTAAAATAAAATTGAAAGCGTGCTTCTGAAAATAAAGAGAATGAGAGGAATGAACGTTAAAAATTATTAAATATTATAAAATAATTGTAAATAATATTTGTGATCCCTTTGGAGAAACTGTTATGTCAATCCTACTTTGTGGTAAGCTGTGCATTTGTTAATTCAATTTAATTGTATAAATTCAACAGTAATGATATTCCAAAAATTTGTTCATTCGATTAAAGAATCATTGTGTATTTCATTCAACTATTATTAGATTGTAATTAAAATTAGTATTAATCTACTCTCTTAGATGAAAAGCTATCAAAACTTTTGCAAAGTTTCACGTAGGTAGTATAGTTCAGCCCGGAATAAATTTTGTTAATCAAGATGAAAACCTTCAGAATTAACACATTTTTACTAACAAGATACAAATCTGTTTATTTTACATATCTTTTTATTCTGTCACAATAGAATTTTCGAGTTTTAAAGTCGGTAAATTCTTCAATGACATTACGAAATGTGCTCTAAATTTCTTTTGCGCAACAGAAACGATTCATTTCTTGAATAGATGGTGACCTAAGACGAAGCGTGGCTAATGCATATGACAATTGACGATATTTTGTACAGTAGATTTTACAAAAATTTATTTCCGGGCAACCTAATTAAAAAGCAATATCGAACGAAAAGGAGTGTTCTCACACGAATGTATGGTAAATATTTACAATAAGGGAGCCACCTCTAATTTCAATGATTTTTCAATATGTTGTCAAGATTATCACCCTAAATTTCTTATACTATACTTGTTGTACTCGTTTGAAAATGCGATTTGTTAGAGCGATTGTTGAGCAATGTTCAGTATTTTGATTCGCATATAAATTAAAAAAATTGATTAATAAATTTAAATATGTATTAATGTTTCTCAATGGGTAGATATGTGCATTCTGCATATTTCGTACACTACTCTTCAAGAGTTTGGAAGCAGTTAAATAAAATCTAAAAAAGTCAAATGACAGATTTTGTAGTGCAATCAAAGGGGTATATGTGTACTACAAAAACTTACAAATTTATAGTATGCTTTACTAATATAACAAAACCAACTTAAAAATAACAGAAATACTTATTCTTCTGAAACTTTTTCTGTTGGAAAGCAATAACTTGAAAAATAAAGATATGGTGCAAACACTTCGTTTCAACGCAATAAATTGTTTCGCAATTATTATGCGCGCAAATAGTTGTCGCGAATATTAAATTGCGTTGAGTCGATCATATTTGATCACTCTGCGAACTATTGACAGCACTGTTTAATTTTAAAATACATTTCGATTTGTTTTAATACGGAGAATCACATTAACCTCGGTTATATCACTCAAGACAGGTTGTCTTTTAGATTAAAAAGTTAATTATTCTATAATTAATCTCTTACACATTCAAAAGTATCACTGATATTTAAACTGCAACTTTTATGCATTTATATTATATGTAGTTAAATAAACGCCTAAAATATTAGTAAAGTCCAGTAAAATTTCTATTTTACGAGGAATCTAACAAAACCTTCAATCAAGAATAAACAAACTTTTTTCTGTTTACATTTTTTTTAAATTAAACAATAAATATCTTTATTTTCATAAACATCCACCATCTACTGTGGACAAACTATATGTATGATCATCTTAATCAAGTAAAGAATTTGAATAAAACAAACATATTAAGATGAAATCAGAACTCGATGTAACAACATTTGAAATGAAAAAACGGTTTCACTCGAAAATAACCAATAAAAGTCTTCATATAAGATCATTGCATATAAAATGTGTTTTTTTCTGGCACTTCGTATTTTATTCAACTTCAAAGAGTTTTATAAGTTATGGTATGATTATTTTCATTCCACAATTTAATTCATGTTATTAATCATCAAATTCTTGGAAATAAATTTTTAGATTCACTTTTTATAAAACATTAATTGCAATCTTTTTGTCAACGATTTCTTTATTGAAAAATAACCTTCACCAAAGCCGTAACAAAAGCTTTATGTGGTTTTTCTGTGACCCCGATTTTAAATTTTTAACTATAACTACACAGTAAAATTTTAATCAATTTTCATGCATAAGAATATAATCAACAATGATATAATATGTACTCCTATTACTTTTACGGTCGAAAAATTAAGCTATCGTTAGGGATTTTTTTCTCAGCAAACACAATATGTAATGAAATATATCGTGATAGCATTTATGGAACTACTTATAAATAATGTAAAGAAAAGGTAAAATAATTCTATTATATTTTGTTTTAAGTTCTTTCTCAGCATGATAGGTGACATCTCAAAAGAAAGGTATCTTCATGGTGCAGGTAATTTCTCAACTCAAACTCATCTTCAACAAAAAATTCAAAAAAATTCTTAATTAGTATGAGTCTTGCTGTCACAGGAAGTACAGTAAATAATTTATCTTTAAAAAAAACAAAACAGTGAATTTTTATGAAAAGGGTACAATAAACTGAAGATATAGTCATGACTGTGCTTCCTGCGATAGCGGCAGTTATACTAATTAAGAATCTTCATGAATTTTTTGTTTCAGACGAGTCTGAGCTGAACAATCGCCTGCACTATTGAGATACCTTTTCTTTGAGATGTTACTTTCATGCTAAGAACAAACTTGAAATAAAGTATAATAAAATTATTCTTGCAATTTTTTATATTATTTATAAGTAGTTCAATAAATGTTAAAAAGATGCATTCGTTTACATATCGTATTTACCGAGGAAAGAATCCTTAAATGTATAATACCTAAATTTTTTGGCCTTGAAAGTAGAATGACCCCTTAATCGTTTTGATAGACAGCCCATGGATTCTCGCTCGATCTTTGTCTGGCCATCTGCGACGAATTGGTGGTAGAAGGACGAAAAGAGAGAGGGAATTGTAAGGCTAAGCAGAGTGGGATTTCGGGGCAAGCGAGGAGAGAGGGATGGCGGAACTGTCAGTGCTACATCGGTTCTCTTCACGTAAGGACGAGCCGCAAGGGATCACCTGCGAATCACCTCTCGTCGGGACCCCTTTTCTGAACCAGGTGAGTACCATTTAAAGCTTGTCGTACGATTACAAATCGCTAGTTCAGTTCCGATCGATAATTCTCGGTACATCGGTGCAACGATCGGTTTGTAAACACGAGTGTACCATGTTGTCTGTTTAGTGGAGAACGGGTGTGATTTTTGTTAATGAAAAGTAGCTGTAGTAAAGGTTAGCTATCCAGAAAAAATTACACGTTTAAAAATGTACTTTAAAATCTTAACCTTGCATATGTGACAATGAAGTGTTACGAACATTATTTACTAATCACAAAATTCCTGCAAGTTCAGGTTTCGTTAAATTTATAGGGTGAATGAAATGGTAATGTAGTAAGGAACATTTTGAAAAGATATTTAATTTTTTAAAAGACATACTCAAGACATTTATATATTTAATTGTAATATAAGATTAGCAGTTTATTTAATGGTATTAAGATGAAGCTTTGACTATTTCTGTATCAGTTGAAGAATATTGTTTGTTAAATGTTAAAATAGTGTAGATTTCTTTTTTTCTAATATTTATGTACAGAAAGGTACATGGTTATATGTATACATATATGCATGTAGTTAATAGTTACAGGGAATACAGGACTCCAAATTTGGAAATCCAAAATTTCAAAGAAACATTTGAAACCTTTGCATGTTCAGTGAAATGGTGAATTGAACAGGCATCAATTAGTCTGAAGCATTTAAAGACTGAATAGAAATCGTTACTAACATACCTATTGTAGTAAAAGAAAGAATTGGTTCTTCCTTTAATTGAACTGTTCCATATGCAGCATATTTCAAAACGTACCCATGTTACATAAATGTACATTTTTTTTTTATAAAAAAAATGATAGCTTGAATAGAAATAATTATAACAATTCGTTATACAGCTTCCAATAATCGTATAGGTTTCAAATATTACCCTGTAATTTTAGGGAAACGTTCTGTTCCAGCTTTTCCAATTACCAATTAAGGATAAAATATTATAAATTGACAAAAATAATATGCAACAATCCAGAGGAGAAATCAATCTTCTAATTTGAGAATACGATACGTATAGTAAGGTTTCAAGAAAGTAAGATTTTTAATTTTCATTATTTTTTAACATTTGAAAAATGTACTTGAAGTCGCTAATCGACCTCACATCTAAAAAAGAACTTTTGTACGATGTAATTGTAAGTCCTTAAAAAATATTTCTTCTCGTAACGTCTCGTAAGGTCGAAATAACTGATTTTGCATCAAATCTTGGATCAGATTATGAGCCCGAAGTTTTTAGAACGTATAAAATTTATTTGAAAATAATTCATACGGATATGCAAAAATTATAAATCATCCCGATATTGGGCTCAAAATGTGATTTATATGGATTCAAAATTGTAATTCCATTAGCTTGATGGGAAATAAATGGCTATCTAACCATGTTAAAGTTACTGTTCTCCGTTCCTTTTCATTTACAGTGTGTATAACTGCTTCAGTTGCTTTTACAAGATGATGAAGCCTGAAATTTGTAGAATTAAAAGAAATTGTAGCGATTGGAACTGTAAGGCATCTGTAGAAACTATGTAGAATTCAAATCTACAGTGATCAGCCACATAATTCCCATCAACCTGATATTTACATATGTATGTGTAAAACATACCTGAAGTTCATATTAGAAATTCCTGAAGTATGATTTTGAATGAATATTATAATCAAATTACAAATATTCTGTGAAAGAAATCATCTAAAGACTGAAGACTATTCCAAATTTACGAACGACAATGTACTACATGGACACGTACGGAATTAATTTTTATTGGTATTCTAGTAAACTTTAAACGAATTTTATTAATCACAATGTGTTTATCTATGTTTTCCAACGAAACATGGGTTAGGTATTAAACACTATCATTATAATTAAAACATAAATTCTTAAAAATTTTTGAATCAGTATTCATTATACCTCAATAGTATCTTTCTTAAAACATACTCCCCATCAGAATCTTAAATTAAATTTATGAAATATACCTTCAAATTAGATTCAGACGTTTCAAGTGTAAAACGTCTATTCATTTTAATGCAATGCCTGTTTTAATATGTTTGTATTGTTTGTCAGCAGTCCTTAAGTGTTCTTCCCGTCAAATACAATGTCCTGCAAAAATTACGACGCAACCCATAACTGACTGTTGAAATACTGGGGGACTACTATTAATACCTTTCATTCATAAAAGTGTAAACAAATAGAGCAAACAGTAAAACCAGACCTGACGAGCATACGAAGTGTCATTAACAGTCGAGATGAACCGTTCTTGCGCTCCTCTTATTGGGATCATTGCAACGAACTCAACTCGCAGCGTAAGGCGCCAATCGGATCGGTTCTGCGCTCGAGTTGGCGCGATCCTCTCGAACGCACATGATAAATACGCTCGAGCCGATACGCGCCCACGAGGATGTACTCGAGTGCATCGTTCGCACGCCTGTGCCTCTCGAGGATACCTGTACACGCGATATCCACTCCCGTCCATAAGTATTAAAACGCCATTCGAATGTGAAACAGGCCAGAAAAGTCATTACAAGATTGTTGAAGATATTAACCTTCGCGCATCGAATGCGCGCGCAATTACGTGGATTACAACTGGCGGATTAGTTTGACCAATAGTAAGAGGTTAGATATAATCTGTATATTTTTGTTTAGTACAAAGATTTTATCGTACAGTGATGCTTCGATGAATGAGTCACGAGCAATGACGTTATTCCCACCACTGGGGGGTTCCCCGCCTGGAATAAAGAAAAACAGGGTAAACAGAAGCTAAGCAGAGGCTCGGCTTCGGTTAAAAAACAAATTTATGAGGGCCTGAAAACCGGGGACTTAAACCGGTATGATTTTGATGCCGGTATTATGCCATCAAAGTTATACCGAAACCCATATATCACCGGAAACCAAAATAAATACCAGTATTTTTTCGGTTTCTATTAGGCTAAGGTTTATACATATAGGGTTATACAGGGTGTAAAAAAAATGTTGTCCGACCCGGAAATGGGGCACTCGGGGGGTGAATTGGAACAAGTATTTCCTTAGCAATAATGTAATTTGAGGCTTCGTTACTGAGATATTAACGAGAAACCCCGACCAATCAGAGCGCGAGTCTGCCGGCCGAGCTCCCGCGGTAGTATTGGCTACCAATCGCAGCGCGTATTGTCTTTTTTCGTTAATATCTCGTTAACAAAGCCTCGGAAAACATTTTTGCTAAGGGAAAACTTGTTTCAAATCGCCTCACGAATGTTCCATTTCGGGGACTTGCAACATTTTTGTTACACCTTGTATGTACAGGTAAAAAAATTTGTAAACAATAAGAATTAAATTGTGTTATAGAGGGTTTAGTAATGCTTCCAGTTATACAAGGTGTCCCACCTAACTCTGCCACCCTTAATTTTTCTCTCATTTGTCAGGGCACAAACAAATGATTCGGGAGAAAGTTAGTCTACTGTTGGGGGATAATTAAGCTATGAGATTGGAGGTCATCTCAAGGTCATATCTTCTGAGATTTCTCTAATGGTAACGTTTTTTGAAATGGAATGCCTTATTTTTTTGTATGCCATTACAAAGAGGAGATCTATCTCTTTATAAAATGATAAAAGTGACGCAAAGCCTGTGGTCTCTACAAAACGGCACATTTTCTTCAGTCAGAACAGGTGTCCAGATACAGATGAACGTGAGCGTACATTATATCGTGGTCGTCCGCAGACGGCGCGTTTAATCGCCGAAATGGACAAAGCGAGTAGCGGCCGCGCGTTTCAAGCATCGCGTCGCGGTTAATTACGGACGATCTCCCGTCGAGAACGGAAAGAGAAACGAATGAGAACGGTAGGAAACGCTCGGATGAAAAGAAACGGCGGGACCGGGTCCATGGTTGCACGGACTCCTCGCGATGAGGACCGCGGAGCGGAGGACCGAAGAGAATCGCGTCTGCTGCGGGTCTGGTTTATGCGAGTCGAGATGAGATAGGAAGGCCGAGAGACCGGGTTCGAATGACCGAGAGCGATCTCGAATCGGGGGGGGAGGGCTACCTAATTGCACCGTTACGCACGCGAGGACCGACCGTTAAATCATCGCCGCGATGGCACCCTCTTGTGCTTGGAATTCGTGGGAACTTTTTTCTTTTTTAATGCGTTAACAGACAAACACAACGTCAGTTGAATCTGAAAGTTGATAGAATTTTGAAAATCAACTGCTTTCGAAAGAATAACCCTATAAGGTCAATGTCCCTATTTCTAATCATGTAAGAATTCTGCTACGTAGAAATTGATTTTTATTATTTATTTATGCAACAATCGACGAAAAAACTTAATAGATATAAAATTTAAATCTCCCTTTATAATTACATTTAAATAAAAGTATTTTTATAAACATTTTAACTTAATAATAGTTAATTTAATGTGAAGTATAAAATGTCCCTATTTCTGCTCAGTGATTATGAAAATGCTCGCATTTCTGCTCACAAGCGTGTCCCTATGTCTGCTCAGCGAAAATGGAAGTGCCAAAACTAAACTTTGGCGAACAATATTAAAGATTCTGTAAATTTTTTTTAGTAAAAGCGTACGTTTCTTTACAACGGACACACTTATTAAATTTATTTCTATTAAAATGCTGCCATCTATTGAACAGCTGGCTGTAGCATTTTGTATGGAAATTCTGAACTAATTTAAATAATGATTGTATAACTAATTTATTGTGTAACTTTTTTCATTAAATAATAAATATACGTACTGAGCAGAAATCGGGACATGATTAGAAATCGGAACATTGACCTTAGTAGGCAACAAAAGTATTAGTACAGCTATATAAATCATAAGTTAGTGTTAATATAAGCTGTTAATATTCATCCACACGGAGATTTGATAAATTATTTGTGACACTATATCTGTTCTGAATTTATCTGTTATAAATATCTAAATGTAAGACCTACAGTGACATGGTGTAGTAATTTATTCTCGTGAAACATGCCAATAACGCAACGCCAAAGTATTCAGACAA